TTGTGCCCAATTCCTCGAGCAACTCACAATACAGTCCAACACATGATACCGTACCCAAGCATGCACCAACAGAGGTGCTCACACAAACGGACACCAGGGAGGGCCAACCAGGCAGGTAACTAGATTCCCTGCAGTGGTAGTGCTCTGCCATAAAGATTTACCTGGCTCGTTTGCTAACATAGCATAATGGCCAGTTTAGGAAATATCAGCCCCATAAGCCTGGGCTTTCTCTCTACTATTATGGGCTCTCCAGAGGGAGGTTAAGATCCTGCTTAGGGCTATTGATATCTGCTACTACCTCCATGCTTTCTCAGCTCAACCGCCCTGCCTCCCTGGCCATGGTAACACAAAACATGCAGTTTTATTAGGGAGAGATAGAAAGAGAGGTTATCTCCAGAAAGCCTTCCTTGGTATTCCTCCTCCTTCTGTTCCCCTCTTCAAATCTCTCAAAGCAATTTACTTGTAATTCTTCTGTTCTCTTAGCACCTTGGTTCTAACTTTTACTCCAGCTACCTGTTTGTGTCTAACGTCCTACAAGGAAATAATAAGCTCACTGAGGGCGAGTACCATGTCTTATTTCATCTTGATGTTCTCCATGCTTAGCATAGTTCTTTGCACACAGTAGGCTCTCATTGTTTATGAAACTAAACTGTTTACTCTGCCTTTCCTTAGTTGTCTAGGATTCTAGGAAAGGAAGCAGATGTCTGTATCCATTTATGGGGTCCAGTGAAAGATGCAGGGAGGTGGGGGTTTTTCTTCTCTCTCCTCTCCATCCTTTCCTGTCACATGCAGACACCAGAGGAGTTTGCTGTCCTGATGCTTTGTTTCTAATCTCTGAGGAACACACTCAATAGCATATCCATCAAAACCCCAATAGATTTCTCAAAAGCAATCTTCCCCTAATTGTATTCTCTCTTTTACCAGCGATTCCTATTTTGAGTGTGTGTGTTTGAAATTATGTTATCTATGTGCCACCAGGGCACCTGGTCCATTTGCATATTAGGAAAAAATTGAATAAAACATGGGGTGTATTCTTTCAAATGGGAAACAGTTTCTTCAGTAGATACTTTCAATTAGGGCCAATTCCTCCAGAATCAATCAACGCCGCCACTCAACAAGTATGTGTTGCACCTGTTATGTGCCCAGAGCTGTTTTAAGTGCCATGAGGGCTACCAAAGAACAAAAATGGGATCTGTGCCCTTAAGGAGCTAATATTCTAATGCCTACCATTCAGCTCAATACAATATTTATTGTTTATGAAACCTACTAACTTCAGAAGTCAAAACTGAATTTTCTCTTTGAAAGTCTGTTCTGTCCTTAGATCAGGAGCTACCTCCTAAAGCTTCTCTCTTTGAGAAAATGGAACAGAAGAGAATAACTCTTAGAATTGGTAGCTGGATCATCTCTGCTGTAGTGACTGGGAAATTTAGAGATTTGTAGGAAATAAAACCACTTAGATTCTTGCAGAATCTGCTGGAGAAGATTGTTAAATTTTGTTTCCCATATACTTTTTTTTCGGTATTTTTTAAATTCATTTTAAACTTAAATACAAAATGAGAAAAGGGAGAAAAAAGACCATTGCCATGTACACAGCAGAACATGAGAGGATTCAATATAAAATCCTATATATTCTTGTCCCTACTTGTTTCAGCCCTAGCTCTTCCTAGTCCCTGTCTTGCTCTGTCATCTTCTTTGACTTTACCCTGTGGTACCCCAGTTATTGTTAGCAAACTCCCTCCCCCCAAATTCTAGATCTCTTACTCTCATGTTCATTTTGCCTTTGGAAGCTACCAGAGAGCTGGATTTCCCTTGGAGATATCTCATCCCTTCCTGCACTCTCCAATGCTGAGCACTCTTTATCTCATGGCTCCCCTTGACGTTGGGCATGGAGAAGTGGTCAGCATATTCCTTGTTCTCCTCTGTTACTTTCAGACCGCTCTTCCATCCCCATAACTTACATGAGTTTCAAACGAAGACATGTTACTGTTTTTCCATATCTTATTCAGATTCTTGTTTCTATCATCTACCAAGTTCTGGGTTACTCTCTTTCCTTTCTCCATGAGTTCAGTCCACTAGCATCCCTCACAGTCTCTTTTCTAGTCCCACACTTGGTGACTTCAATATTCATGCTGATATGCCTCTTATCATTGCAGTTTCAGACCTCTAAATGTCTCTGTCCCTTTATCTGTCCTTTCTTACCTCTAGTTTAAAGAAGAGGTTCTTCTTGCCTAGAACAATCCCCCCAGGAATTCTATCACATCTCTTCCAGGGGTTTGGCCCATTAATAATTCTTAGTCCACTGGCTTTTTCCTTGCCATAAACCTGATTAGAACTCCCCTATCTTTTTTTCTTCTTTTTTTTTGAGACTGAGTCTCCCTATCCTGCCCAGGCCTTAAAGTACTGTGATCATTTACAGCCCTAAGAACCTTTCGCATATTCTTTTTCTGGTCTGTTTCACCTAGGGGTGTACCAGTAAACAGTTTAACAACTGAATTTCTGGGGGAAAAAAGAAATTTATGCTTGAGTTTTTAAGTTTAATATGTATTATTCACATATTCTCCATCACTTTCTTAAGTCTAATCAATAAAACAATAAATCAAGCACTGATTTGTAGAATTTGCCAATTTCTGCAGATTTCTGAGGTGTAAACACACACTAAAAATTTAACTATCAGCTCTTTCAAGCCAGTTGAAGATGAGTTCAGGACATCCTTGCTTTTGCCTCTCCCTAAGCAGCCCAGTGGCCCTGAGGATCTTAGAGACTCACTGTTATTGGTGCCAGATTTAATATGGACACTGGACACTGGATCATTCAGTTTTAGCTCTGCTATAGTTCAGAGCTCTCAAACTCAAGGGATACACCAGTCTCAAGCTCTCCAGTAAAGCTACAACTCCACATTCCCCCTATCTTAAAGAACAAAGCAAAATATAAAATATTTACTTGATCCTGTTATACCTTGAAGCAAGAGGCTCTTAACGTGTGTGTATGTGTGTGTGTGTGTGTGGAGAGAGAGAGAGAGAGAGAGAGAGAGAGAGAGAGAGAGAGATGGATGAACCCTTTGGTCAGTCTGGTGAAGCCTATTAACCTCTTCTCAGAATAACATTTTTAAATACATAAAATCAAGTGCATAGGATTACAAAGAAAGGCTATTGTATTAAAATATAACTTTCAAAATATAAAAAAAAACAAACTCGCTAACTCTACGTTATGAACACTAATCAAACTATCATCCCATACCTTACTGGCTTTTTCACTATTAAGAACTAGAAAGAAAAAAAAAAGAAGTCTACAATTGATGCTTCTCATTACTACCCACTCACTCCTCAGCCCTTTCTAATCTAGCTTCTGGCTCTACCACATGACTGAAACAATTCTTGCAAAGGTTCCTGATGATTTCTTAATTGTTAAATCTAAAGTCATTTTCTCTAACCTCATCCCACTTAAGTTTTCTGTAGCTTTCTATAGTTGTATTTCTTGCACTGAAACTCAAAGGACTAGCTGATCTGTGCCTTCAGAAACTTGTGTTTTCTTTGGTGATGTCAGATGATTGGGAATACAGCCCCCATTGGGGAGCAGGCAGAGCTAAAATGCAGAAAAACCTCTCAGGTGGTTTTTCACCAAAGCATAGCAGAACTTGACTCTTGAGTTTGAGAAGTGGTAAAGTATGGCTACCGAGTAGGGAGAACAGTGGGTACCCAAGCAGCCACTCTTTTTCCACCATTCCAAACCATGTAGGAAGCAATGGCTTCCGTAGCAACTGCCTTCTCTTTGGGCACAAAGTATGAATAAAATATGGCAAAGACTAGGCCTTTGGATGAAAATGAGTGAGTGATCTCTTACTCTCATGAGTGTTGTTTTCTCTGCATTTTCTTGAAAAGTAAATCTGTTGGGGGTGAGGAGGAGAAGAATACTCTTAGAACCCTCTTAGATCATTCTGGGATTAGTTCATAACAGCAGCAGCAATTATCCCTTAGTAATTTGACCAGCTCCTGACATTTTTTTCTACTGGTATGGTGGATAAAATGCTACGCCTGGAGTCAGGAAGACCTGAGTTTAAATTCAGCTGTAGACACTTACTAGCTATGTGACCCTGGGCAAGTCGTTTAACATTTGTTTGTCTCGGTTTCCTCCAGGTATAAAATGGGGATGCTAATAGCACCTTCCTCCCAGGGTTTTGTGAGGATCAAATGAGATAGTGTCTGGCATGTGCTTAAATGCTTGTTTCTTTCCCCTCCCTCTCCCTTTCTTTCCTACCATCCACATATAAACAGAAGCCGATACTCTCCTGGGAAGCATACAGACGGTATTGCTCCCATCTATTGTTTCCTACATGGATTTGCAAATGGGTCTGGGAACAAAAATGGTCAATAAGGGTTAGAATCCCAACAGTGTAGATCATTATTTTCCAGGATGACAGAGTTGTCTGGGCATCCCAACTTGGAAACCCAACAGTTTTGCACAAGACTAAATTTCCTTGCCTAAGCTGAGACAAATGGCCAAAAGTTGGATCACCAGCATCCAGGTGTCATGGCTGCCTTTGAGAAAGGAAGAGGACTATCAGATGATGTGAATCTGTCCCAGTTACTTCTCTTTCTCTACCATCCACCTGCATTTTTGCAGTTACTCTTGAGCTATCAAACTATATGTTGCTGACAGCACAAAAGCCTTGTTATGTAACTGGACCTTAATTGTTTTGTTAATTACTAAGGACAATTACAGCAAGAGCTGCTCTTTGGTCTTTTCTTAGAATCTCTGTGGACAATAGAGGAATCCAGGCAATTAAGGTAGGAGGCAGATGGATTGGCAGTTTGTTTTCTACCTCAGATTTCCTTTCTGTATGTCGATTGCGTTCTCTCTACTATACTCACCACCTGTAGTAGATTTACTCTTGTACTCAGAAAGACTGGCCTGGGAATGTGTTGCTGTCATGACAACTTACTCCTAAGTAAAGAGAAACAGATAAAGGGAGGGTTACATTCTTGAGACTCCTTTCTCATACTATGCTGCAAGTCTTTCTTTTTTGTGGAAGGAGGGATGTGTGGGGGGGTGACAATGATAACAGAGAGACTTGTACCTCTGTGCTCAGAATAGAGAACAGATCTGTGATTAAGCCTGGCAAATAAGTATAGTCAGCTTTCCATGCCTCACTCAGCACAATACTAGGCACACATATAGTCAATAAATTCTTGTTGATAAATTGATTGCTTCAGGAAGCAAAAGTGTAGATAATCTAAAACACTAGACAGTCTGACAATCATTTTGATGTCACTTTGGAATTCATGGAAAGACAGATATATGTGTATACACAGTGCTCACACTGAAAGAATCTCCTTGACCTCCCCTTTTCTGTCTGGGACCCAGATGGACAGGGGAGGGGGGAAACATACAAAGAGCAGATCATCCTGGCAGGGTAACTGAGAGTTGATTGAACAGATAAATTACCGATGCACGACTTTTCAGTGCTTCCCCTAGGACTGAAATAAATGAAACCCACATTCTGTGCCCCTTATCTGCAATAAATTGCTACTTGCCCTGGGTGAGTTGCTATAAAAAGGTCATGGAACTAAAGTTAAAGGCCTTTCTCTGAGGGCCTGGGAGAGAGCACATGACTAAAAACTCAGTAGGAAAATGGGACCTACTCTCCATATGAGCCAATTTTTGCTACGAGCTAAATAAGACGTCCCACGGGTAACCATCCAAACACAACTGCCCTTTTCTCTCTAGTGCAGTCTTGCCAGTGGGTTCTTAGAATATCTGCTGGGAATCAACAGAAAAAAAAATAAATAAAAGACACAACGTGGTGGGTTGTTGGTAAACTTCCCCAGAGAGTACAAGGCAGCATGATTGCTAAAGTTTCATTTTCAGAGTCAGTCACCTATAGTGTGCCTTTCTCACTGTGACTTCTGCTAGACAAGATGATCAGAGGTTTAGGATAATAGAATTCTAAAGGTGGAAGCAATATTGGAGGGCCTCTAGTCCAACTTTATCATTGTATAGTTGAAGAAACTAAGGCACCAAGAGATGGAGTGAATTCTCTAAGTTCATAGAGTAGCACAGTAACAGAACTAAGACTCGAACCCAGTTTTCTTGCCCCCCAATCCATTGCTCTTTCTATTTCACTACACTGAGTTCAAATCCAGCTTCAGATATTAACTGGCTGTGTGACCCTGGACAAGTTACTTAACCTTGTTTACCTCAGATTCCTCATCTGCGAAATGAACTGAAGAAGGAAATGGCAAACCACTCTATTATGTTTGCCAAGAAAGTCCCAAATGGGGTCACCAAGAGTCAGACACAACTGAAATTACTGAACAACGCTACTTGAAGCCTTATAAATATACACTTGTCAATCCGTCTTTGGTTGATTCAAGGTCAGTGGTGAAGGGGAAGGAGTTGTATCATTACAATCTAAGTGATAACTATTGTAACTAGTTGAATTGGTAAATTTATTTCCAAGGCAGTTCATGGTATCCAGAATAAAAGAATCTCAGGGTTGGAAGGGTCCTTTTTAGTCATCCAGTCCAACCTGTGCCTGAATGGCAATCTCTTTAACGTTGCTGAGAAGTCGTTCTTCAGCTTGTTTGAAAACATTTAATGAAAATTTTCCCTGCCTTCTTGCCATCCATTCCACTTTTGTTCAGTCATAATAAGAAAGAGGTTTTTTTCTTTGTGATGAGCTAGCGTCGTCTTTCTGTAACTTGGATCGTAGCTCTTTGTTCTTCCATCTCATGCTAAGTAGATCAAGTTGTGACATGGGAGAAAGCATTGACTCTCCAGGAACTGGACTCAGGTCCCACCTCTGATGCTGATTTTCTGTGTGATGTTGGACATGTCTCCCAGGGCTTAACCTCCCGGGGCTTCAGTTTCCTTATCTGCAAAATGAGGACATTGGGCTGTACGGCCTTGGAGGTTCCTTCCAATTCTAAATCTGATCCCCAGTCTATTCTCTATCTCACCCAATCTTCCTTTAAATGCTTGAAGTCAGATGTTATGTCACCTCTTTTTAAAAAACCCTAAAAAAACCCATATCTTTCAATTGATCCTTTCTGGCAAAATCTCCAATTCTCTAACTATCCTGCCTGCCCTCCTGGGGATGTACCCCAGCAGGTCAGGTCAGAGTCCTCAAATGTGTTGACTAGAACCGAATGCAATATTTCATTTGAGATGTGAGTTGACGAGAACAAAGTATGGCAGGACTATCACACTAGCACTCTCAAAACATAGACAGAGGGGCAACTGGGTGGTGCAGTGGATAGAGCACCAGCTTTGGAGTCAGGAGGACCTGAGTTCAAATCTGGTCTCAGATCAGACACTTAACACTTACTAACTGTGTGACCCTGGGCAAGTTACTTAACCCCAATTGCCTAGACCAAAAAAAAACTAAAATAAGAAAATAAAAAAATAAAATAACAAAACATAGACAGAAAGATGGATGACAGATAGATAGGAAGGGGAAGGGCAGAAGCATTTATATAGCACCTACTATATGCCAGGTGCTTTACAAATATTATCTCATTTGATCCTTACAGCATCCTTGAAAGATAGATGCTGTTGTTATCCCCATTTTAGAGTTGAGGAAACTGAGGCAAACAGGTGAAGTGACTTGCCCAGTGTCACACAGCTAGTAAGTGTTTGAAATCAGATTTGAACTCAGGTTTTCATGACTCTAGGCCCAGTGCTCTATTCACTGGGCCACAGACAGACAGACAGATACACACATACATACATACATACATACATACATACATGCATACATACATAAATACATAGAGATGTATGTACATGTATATACATATATAACATACAAAAGTCAGTCAGTCTGATTGTGTATGTATGTATATTGTGTATGCATATATAGCAAGATAATCAGTAATATAATGAGTACTCTGCAATCTCATTCTTGCAGAGCCAGGCTGGGAGGTATAAGCTCATGCACACCCATACACATACCCAAACACACACACACACACACACATACACATACACACACATACATATATAACAAAATACTAAGTACTCTCTGGCTTTACTCTCTCAGAGCCAAGCTGGCTATATATTCTTCTGGGGGATGGATATGTCTTCTCTCTTGAGTTCTCATTCCAGTGTGCTCTACCTGCCAACCCCCATTAGCCACCCAAGTGACAAGCACCTCATTTCCATTTAACCAACTAAAATAAATTAGGTTTTGCTAAAGCATACATGAGGCTCAGTGGATGGAGCTCTGGAAGTCAGGAAGATCTGAGATCAAATTTGACATCAGACATTTACTAGCTATGTGACCCTGGGTAAGTCATTTAACCCTGTTTGCCTCAGTTTCCTCATCTGTGAAATGAGCTGGAGAAGGATATGGAAAACCACTCCAATATCTCTGCCAAGAAAACCCTAAATGGGGTCATGAAGAGTCAGACATAACTGAAACAATTCAACGTAACAACAACATTCATCTATATCTGAGGGAATGGGAAAACTCACGATTTCATCGGTAAATGAAACTCGTAAGTAGAAAACTGTCTCTACCAATGCAGATCAGCACTTGCTCTGATACATATAGTTTGGGCTTCCTGATGCACTGAGAGATTCAGTGACTTAACAATAATAGCTAGAATTCACATGGTGCTTTAAGGTTTGCAAAACACTTTACAAATATGATCTCATTTTTGCCTAGGATGAACCCTCTTGACTCTGATGCAATTCCCTACAGCCTACACACCATGCTGCCTCTCCCACTTGGCCACCATATCACATTTGTCTCATTTTTAATTCACAGCCCACTAAAGTCTCCAGATCTTTTCCACACTGACTGCTGTCTAGCCATACCATTGTGTATTTATTTATGAAATCAATTGTGTAAATTCAGTCATAGAACTTTCCATGGAGCCACATTCAATTCCGTCTTTTTGGATGCTATCCAACTATTCTAGATGGTTGAGATCATTTTGGATCCTGACTCCATCATCTATTCTTCGTTATCCTTCTCAGCCTAGTCCCATATTCGAATTTGATATATTACATTTTACATTCATCCAAGTTGGTAATAGAAGTGTAAATAATAAGTATATAAATAGAATAATAAAATAAATAATAAATAATAAAAATATCAACCAGCACAGGGCCAAGAATGGATATCCCATTAGCAGCAATGGCCTCAGTTCTCCATAGCAGCAGTGAGAGAATGAGGCACTTAAGTTAGCCCTGCTCCTTGATGACATCAACTGTGTTATATCCAATATACTTCTTTCCTCTCCTCCACAGTGCTGAGAAAAGGGTTTCAACGAAGTCCGAGCACAGATGGTTTGGGATAGTTGTTATTGTTTTTTACAAAGCAAAGTTAGAAGAAATGAGTTGTTCCTGAACTCTCTAAAGGTAGTCACAATAATACACAGCTGAGAAAAAAGCCTGTGATGCTGTCTTCAAGACAGTTTCCTTTCCTAGGATACAGACAATCCTTGGAGGCAGGGAAGGAGACCCGATGAACCCTGAAGGAGTCATCTAGCCTTTACTGGCCTTCTGGAACTGATTCAAATGAATGAGTTTTGTGTAATGAGGGGGATAGATACTAAGGTCACTGGGTCCCTTCAGCATACTAGGGTAGTGTACCAACTTAAATTCAGAAATTTCTTTCCAGAATGCAAGCTATGTTCACAGATATTTCTCCAATGTACCTAGACATCCAAAGACTGCAAACTCTGGATAGAAATCTGTAAATGGATTCTTTGATGTATTTCTGGAACCATCAAACCATAGAATCTCAGAAATAGAAGGGACATCACAGATCATCTAGCCCAATCCATACCAGAACAGAAATCTATAGGACCACTGGACTGTGAGATCATAGATCCAGATGTGGAAGGGACTTTCAGTATCAGCTAATTCAATATTAATTCTACAGACAAGGAAACCCGGGTCTGGAGAGATTAAGACTTACCCAGGGTCATATATGTAGTTATTCCTTCTACCAACAGATAACCAGTTACTAGACATTGCTGCTGCCATCTCCATTGGCTAGTTTTTGTTTCAATATACACTCAGCAATGTGGTTGGGATATATTTGGCCCAGAACTATGAAAAATTAAATTTGGCTGAAAAGCTTAAAGACATTTTTAAAAATGCCAAAGCCAAGAAGAAACTTCCAAGTCTTTAATGCCAACTCTTGTAATGTCTTGTGGATGCCTTGATCATAATCTGAAAAAGACAGACCTTTCCGATTTGAACTAAGAGCTCCTACTCTCTCCTTTAAGATTGTGATTTGCTTCACCCCAAGATACACCTTTGAGCTAAAATATACCCATAGCACCAATTACAACTACTCTTTATTACTCCCCTTGGATTCTGCTCACCCCTCTACCTGCTAGGGAGGTTTTGAAACTTGAATCAAGGTGTTTGAGTAGGAAATGCTAGGGTTGATTGGTTGTCTCTTCCCATATCTCTTCAATCTGATAACTGCTCTTCCAGCCTCCTGTAGAAAACATCCAATGATATGGCTCCTAAAGCAGCCCATTCTACTTTTTTGACTCTTCATTAGAAGAGTCATATTATATAATATAGATATATGTTAGGGAACATATATCTATATTAAACTTAGATCTTCTGCAACTTCCACTTATTACTCCTAGTTCTGCATTCTAGGAGCCAGGTTGAATGAAACTAATCCCCCTTCCCCATGGCTGCCCTTCAGATACTTGAAAACAGTGACCATGTCTTTAAATCCTCAAGACTAAACCACCCTAGTTCTTGCAACTGGCCTGCATATATCATGGTGCCCAGTCCTCTCACTATCGACTTCATCTTCCTCTAGATACACTTCAGCTCATCAATGAACATCATTCCAGGTATCATTCCTGCCCTAAGCACAATGTCTGACGCATAGTAGGCATTTAATGTGTTGATTCATTAATTGATAACTCTTGTGTCAGAAGTTGCCTCCAGATACAAAGGTTCTGGGCATACTTGGGGGTCTTTCCACTTCTCTGACCCATTATTCCTATTCATATGTTTTGGGTACTTTAGTATCTGTCACTTCTCCCAGGTGTAACCAACAATTCCCCTTATATGAACATAGGCTCATAGGGCTTAAAATATGAATAGTTTTATTTACAACATAATATTGTGAACAGCCTTAAAACTCAAAATAAGCTGAAGTAGGTGAGGGAAACTAAATTCAACAAAAAGAAGATTCAAAAAATCTTCTATCCTAGAGGTATGTTAGAGTCCACTAGAGCTGGCTCTCAAAAGATAATTGTTAAAATTTCAGTTTGGATATTTACACCTTCAAAATCAGCAAATGCTACAAATCAGAGCTTGATTTATTGTTTTGTCAATTATCCAGACTTAAGAAAGTGATGAAGAAAATGTTATTTAGGCAAATTAAACTTAAAAGTGTTTCTTGTGTACATTTCTCAACCCACCCACTCCCACAGTCCTTCAGAGGGATGGTTGACAAACATTTATCAATACACCCTTGATAGCACCACTACTTGGGGTGAAGGGGATGCTGATGACAACCAAGGATGTGAAAGTAAATTTGTTGAATTCTTATTTGGCTTTATTTTCTCCGTCAGTAAGAAATTTGTTTGGGAAACAATGGAACAAAAATGACTAATAAAGAGTTTATGCCCAAGATAATAAGGAGATAGTAGGAGTTCATCTAGTGGGCCTTGATGAATACAAATCCCCTGGCCCAGATGAACTATATCCTTGGCTACTGAAAAAAAAAAACAGCCACTGTGATTATAAAGACACAAGATATAGGAAAACAGGAGAGACACTGCAGTACTGGAGAAAGGCAGATGTGGTCCTGATTTTCAAACAAGGGAAGAGAATAGAATCTACAACTCTAAGTCAGTGATCTTGCCTTTAATTTCTAAAATGGATCGTAGTTGAGATGATGAGAGAATAGATAAAAAAGGAAGTAATAATAACAATGATTTCATGAAGTGCAGGTTATGCTAGACTAACCTGATTTCCTTTATTGATAGAATTGCTAAACTGGGAGATCAGGAGAACATTATCAATAGATTTTAACTAGATTTTAGCAAAGTCTTTGGTAAAAGAATAATAATTATAGAATTTATATTGCATTTGAAAGTTTGATAAGTGCTTTGGATATGAACAATATAATAAAACATTTTATATAATATAAATAAATAAAATACAAATAGAATAAATATAAATAACAAAGAGAACTGGGCATGGAATCAGGAAGACCTGGGTTCAAATCCAACCTCAAATTCTTGCTAGCATTGTGACCTTGAGCAAGTCACTTAATCTCTATCTCAGTTTCCTCATCTGTAAAATGGGGATACTAGTAACACCTACTTTGCTGGGTTCTTGTGAGAATCAAATGAGATATTAGTAAAGCACATAGTGCAGTGCCTGATGTATATTAGGTGCTATATAAATGCTTATTCCCTCTTCCCCTCATCAAACAGAGGTGGAATGATGCTCATTGTTGGATATGTAACAGTGGTGATTCCCTTCACCACTAGAGGTCTCTTCCAGCTGTAAAATTCTGTGAATCTGAGAAGTTAATTGAAAAAAAAATAGGACTCAGATCTGAGCTCAAGGAAGGTAACAGTTCTCATCAATGAGCAACCCTCTCTCCAGAGGCATATGTAATCTCTGTGACTTGAGGTACTGCCATGTAGAGAAGGGTTCTAACAGGGGATGGTCAGAGTTTTCTTCTCAGCCCCCTTACTTTTCTTTATGGTGCTATTGTTCTTCTTAGGCTCCAATAGAGGTCACTCATTCCCTTTCCCAGGGGACCAACTCTCTAACACCCTACAAGGTGTGTCTGCAGCTGAAAAGCACAGCACTGTTATGCCATTTTTCTGCACATAGTCTATACAGCCTCTCATCTCCTACATGAGCGATATTTCAGGAACTATAGAAACACTTTTTTTCTCGTATTTTGCAAGCAGAAATGCTGTGTCCAACCGATGAAGGCTCATGGTGACTCATTAGCACTTACCTCCTCTTTCCCAATAACTTAGTGGGGTCTCTTTTTTTGGGACAGGACTTCAGTCTTTCCCAATTGCCCATATAGCCTCCTCCCCCCATCCTCTAATGAAGGATGTCAGCCAAATTGTTAGGCTCATTCAAGAAACATTTAGAGAAGGGAAATGGGATCGAGCCAACTGGTCCCTGCACAGAGAGTGAGAAATTGGTTAATTATCACAGATTCCCCCAAGTAAACTCCTCAACCTTTTAGAAAGGCAGGATGCGGCTTTCAGAGATGCCACATGACATAATAGATAGATAACTAACTTTAGAATCAGAAAGACCTGAATTCAAATTCTTCCTCTGAAGAATATTTGCTGTGTGGTCCTGAGTGGTAAAGATGACAATAGCAAGCATTGGTATAGTGCTGTAAGATTCGCAAAACACTTTGCAAATATTTCATTTGATCCTCACAGCAATCTTGGTAGGTAGGCGCTGTTATTCTTCCACATTTTACAGATGAGGAAACTGAAGTAGGTGGTGGTGAAGTGACTTGCCCAGGGTCACACAGTTAATAAGTGTCTGAAGTCACATTTGTTTACACATCTTCCTGTTGGTCCAGCACTCTATCCATGTTAACCACCTGTCTGCAAGAGTAATGTGACCTTTCTTTGACTCAGACAACCCTGTAAAACCAAAAGTTTCAGAACACATATTGATCTGTATTGGTAGAGAGTATTTTTCAACGGGAAGTTCTCTATACCAATGAAATCACAAATCCAGTCCATATACCCTGGTACGTGTAGGAAGATATATTCACATACATATCCATATACACATAACACACATTTATTTAAACACACATATATGCATATATACTTACATATGTAGATCTACTATATATAAATATTAAGACAAATATGTATGTGTCTACATACCTATATATGTGTATATATACTATATCTATATATATGATATATATAGATATGCTTATATGCAAATACTGCATATTCCAGAACATGATATATACAGATATAATATATACATTATGTATATGTGTTTTTATTTAGGTGTGTAGATACATACATATGCATCTATAAACATATATGTAAGAATTCACATAGGTAGACATACATATGTGTGTGTACACAGACACACAAAAAATTGGGACAATTGAGTTAACCACACTGACCCCATTTTGTGACTCAATTCTGGATCTATCTGAGTTCCTTTTCTATTCAATTAAGGGTCTAGTTCAATTTCTGTTCTGTGAGAAAACATTATTCAACTGTGGAAATTGGGAGAAAACCTTATTGCATTGTTTGAACCTAGACCTGCATGGCTGAGAAACTGGACTACCCCTACGTGCTATTTAGAGACCCTTAACTAAGGACCTATGTTATTCTGACCAGAAACCCAGTCAGATCCAAAGATTGATACAAGGAGTTTTCTCACAATTATACATTGTAAGCAACCCATATATCTTATCTGAAAACTGGCCAGTTATTAATTCTTCACAGATACATGGGGGTGGGGGACACCTCCTTTTCTGATTTCAGGGAATTGTACCTGTTCACTATCCCCCTCCCAACTTGGAGAGTCCCTAATGTTTCATCCAGTTAGAAATCAGATTACCTACTATTACATTGTTTCCTTTTAATTAATTAGCCTTGTTTTATTAATTGTTTTTAACGTATAAGAATCAGTCTCCCTTTATATTCAAGATCCAGTGCCAAAGCTGAGAAAGGCTACTGGTCCCAATTTGTTAGGTACTTGGCATGCATTACTTAATACATTGAAATGCTGGGGAGCTCAAAACATTGTTTCTTCATTCTTTCCAGCTTTCATCCGCTACAATACACTTCTATTTACATCATAAACATATATATAGACATACTTGTATAGAAATACTATATTATTTATATATGTAAATATCATCTGTATACATATATGTGTGTGTTTCTATTTTGGTATATATGTATATATACATGTATATTTATATAGAAATGCTTATATAAAATACTAGTATATATTCATTTATATTTACATTTATATTTATATAGATATATAAAAACACTAGTGTATATACAACATACACCAGTATTATATAAACATATCTGTATGCATATATTTCTATATGTATTATATGTATATATGTGTGTGTGTGTGTATGTATCTATGTATGTACATGTATATATATTATAA